TTTGGCCATTTCCTATCTATGGCTCAGAGAGACACCATGTTACCCTGATGCTGAACATGCAGACTCTTCAGGGAACTTAAGAATGCACTAAGCAAGGATCCAGCCTGCTGTTCTGGGATTGCCCCCATTTATCTGTATGTCTCTACCATATACTCCCACCGCTGAGATTCATCTCTTTTCCCCCTAAAGCGCAGGGGCAGGAAAAGCAAAGACATTTAAATCAGATTTCATGCTAATCAAGTTCTTATTCCCCAGGCTCCTCCTCCATGCACCACAATGTCTTTTCTTTTCCTGGGCAGTAGAGGCTTTCTTTATGTTATACCTTTACCTCTTCTACTCTCAGGTTAATTTTTTAAAATTTTATACAACAAACTTCTAGGTTTGTATCCTTATAAATTCCACTCTGTATTCCAATTTTCCAGATGTGGATATATATACATATATGTGTGTGTGTGTGTGTGTATATATATATACGTGTGTGTGTGTGTGTGTGTATATATATATATAAAGGCCAGTTTGGTAGTTTGAAAAAATCCTTTTATCTCAACACAGCTTGAATGTTACAACTTAAAAGCATATGTTTTCAAATAATTGTCTTGCTATTGACCTTTAAAACTATTTTTTAAACTAAAAGGTAAATGTGAATGCTTTTTTTCCATTTTTTGTTTGTTTGTTTGTTTGTTTGTTTCTAAGACAGAGTCTTGTTCTGTTGCCCAGACTGGAGTGCAGTGGTGCGATCTCGGCTCATTGCAACCTCCGCCTCCTGGGTTCAAGAGATTCTCTTGCCTCAGCCTCCTGGGTAGCTGGGACTACAGGCGCATGCCATCATGCCCAGCTAAATTCTTGTATTTTTAGTTGAGACAGGGTTTCACCGTGTTAGCCAGGATGGTCTCGATTTCCTGACCTCATGATCCGCCAGCCTCAGTCTCCCAAAGTGGTGGGATTACAGGCATGAGCCACCGCACCCGGCCGTGAATACTTTTTTCCCCACTGAATCCGCTCTCCCCCAATACGCCCCAAAATTGACCTTATAGGATAGTCTCAATCAGAAGGTTGTGAATGGGAAATATGAAGGGAAGTGGATAAAGGAGACGAATTACAAAGAAGGGAACTTATGTTGTATACTAACATGATTAAAATGATTATTGAATGTTTACTATGTGCAATGCAATATGACAGATGTTCTCTACATATTGCCTCATATCAACTTTTATTTTTTTACTTTAAAAATACAATGAGCTCCAATAAAGCTGCTGCCCATCCCAAGACCTAAAACATTACTATACCTTATAACTTCCTATAGACTCCTAACCTACCCCATTCCCTGCCTGCCTCATTCTAGAAGTAATCATATTCAATTTTGTTTAATTTACTTGTGTTTTAATAGTTTTATAGGCCGGGCATGGTGGCTTATTATGCCTGTAATCCCAGCACTTTGGGAGGCCGAGGTGGGCAGATCACTTAAGGTCAGGAGTTTGAAACCAGCCTGGGCAATATGGCAGAACCTTGTCTCTACTAAGTGTACCAAAAAAATTAGCTGGGCATGGTGGCACGTGCCTGAAATCCCAGCTATTCAGGAGGCTGAGACAGTAGAATCACTTGAACCCAGGAGGTGCAGGTTGCAGTGCGCCACGATCGCGCCTCTGCACTCCATCCTGGGAGACAGAGTGAGATTCCATCTCAAAAAGTAAATAAATAAATAATAACAATAATAGTTTTATAAAAAGATATATACACAACTATAATGTAGTCTCATTATACATTTCTATATAAATATATTATATATTATAGATTATATATCATATATGACATATATTTACCTAGATAATGTATCATTAGTTTTATCTGTTCTTAAACTTTGCAAAAAGTATACCATATTATGTTTACTTCTGGAACTCGCATTTCTCACTCAACATTTTACCAAAATTCATTCATTTTGTCTGTAATTTATTCACTATCAATGCTGTATAATATCCAAACTTGTAACTAACGCATTTACCCATTGTCCTATCGATGGGAATTTGGGCTGTTTTCAGGGTTTTCGCCATTATGAACAACAGTATTATGGAAAGTCTTGGACTACAAATATTGAAAATTTCTCTTATGTATAGACCTAGAAATCAATTGCAAGATCAGAGGGTAGGTGAATGTTAAAATTTGCAAGATAATGTTAAATGTTTTCCAGAGTAGTTCTGCCAATTTACATTTCCACCAGCAATATGAGGAAATTCCATTGATCTATGTCTACTCCATGCTTTTGTCAAGCTCATTCATATTTTTGCCCCAAATCATATCTCATTGTCATTTTGATCTTCTCTTCCCTGGTTGTTAACGAAGTTGAGCATCCCTTTGTATATTTATAAGCCCTATGGGTTTTCTGTTCTGTAAAATATTTGTTCATGCCATTTGCCTATTTTTCTATTTAATTGCTGGCTTCTTTTTCCTTACTGATTTGTCACCTAACAGTATTGCAAATATTCACCAGTTGCGATGTGTCTTTTCACTTTCTTTAATGTGCCTCAATGAAGAAAAGTTCTTAATTTTAATTTAGCTGAATTTATTAACCTTTTTTATTATGATCAATTATTTTATGCCTAAGAAATTCTTTCCTGCCCCAAGTTCAAAATACCTGCACTTATATTTTCTCACAACTTAAACTTTTGTTTTTGATGTTTAAATTCTTTATCCATATGAAGTTGTGTGTGTGCGCGTGTGTGATAACAGATCCATTTCCTTTACGTTTTTTTTTCCAAACGGTTAACCAATTTTTTCAAGCTTTATTTGTTGAACAGATCCCATTTCTGCAGTAAGCTGCCATGCCATCTCTATCATGTCAAAGTTCTTCATCTGCATGCATCTATTTTGGGCCACTCTCTTTTTTTTTTTTTTTTTAGACAGGGTCTCGCTCTATCTTCCAGGCTGTGATGTGATCATGGCTCACCACAGCCTCAACCTACCAAGCTCAAGCAATCCTCCCATTTCAGACTCCCAAGTAACCAGGACTACAGGTGTGCGCCACCATGCCTGGATAATTTTTGTGTTTTTTGTAGAAACAGGGTTTTGCCACGTGCCCCAGGCTGGTCTTGAACTTCTGGGCTCAAGAGATCTGCCTGCCTCAGCCTCCCAAAGTGTTGGGATTACAGGCATGAGCCACCATGCCCAGCCTCGGGCCACTGTCTTCTATTTCTTGGTCATGTTGTCTATCCCTGAACCAGCACCCTACAGTTTTCTAGATTTTTAATAAACCTTTGTATTTCTGAAGAAACACCCTGCTTCGTATAGTTCTTTAGCATTGCTTTAGATATTCTTGGCCTTTTGTTCTTCCATATAAATTTCAGAACCAATTTATTAGGTTACCAAATGTCTTTTTAGATTTTTATTTAAATCATATTAATTCCATGGCTCAATTTTGGGATAATCAGTTTTTTAAAAAAATTAAGGATTCTACAGGAGTCAGACAATCTTAAGATCTCTTGCAAGTTCCAACATTTACTAGATGCGTGACCTTTAATAAATGACAGTTTTTCTAAATCTATTCTCTTCATTGTAAAGTGGGTATTTCATATGAAGGTACAGGTAAAGTACCTACAACACCACTAAATGCCTGGTGGACAATCAACAAATAATTTTTATCATTTTCACCAATAGTGTTGCAATCTAATGAAAACAATATTACTTGTAAATAATGAGCCACAATCATGGTTACACAATAAATTGATAATTGAATGAATTGCACACATTTAAAAATAAATTAATTAAGACTTCTTATCTCTGAACATGATGTCTCTCTACATTAATTTAGAAGATTATCTTTGGTAGCTTTCAGTCAAGTATTTTTTTTTACTTCCTTCATAAAGATCTTGCAAATCTTTTGTTGTGTGTCAATGACATCTGCTCTCAGGGTTTAAACATAAATGCAGAATATTTAGGCTCTAGGGATTGAAAACTGTCAAGAGAATCTATAAAAATTTACTTTCTGGAGTTGTTGGATTTTTTTTTTTAATTTTCACTTTGTTTTTGAGACAGGGTCTCCCTCTGTCACCCAGGGTGGAGTGCAGTGGCACCATCTCAGCTCACTGCAGCCTCAGCCTCCCTTTAATCCGGTGATCTCCAGAATAGCTGGACAACAGACGCATGCCACCATGCCTGGCTAATTTTTATATTTTTTGTAGAGACGGGGTTTCACCACGTTGCCCAGGCTGATCTTGACCCCCTGGGCTCAAGCGATCCACCCTTCCTGGCCTCCCAAAGTGCTGAGATTACAGATGTGAGTCACCATGCCCAGCCACTTTCTGGAGATTTTAAAGAAACGTTTTAGGGAAGTGTAACATATATACAGAAGAGTACATGTATAAAAACTGTATAGCTTGATTATCACACGATAAACACATCCATATAAAAAATAAAACATCACCAACACCCCAAAGATTCCCTCATGTCCCCTGTCAGCTACTACCCTACACCCCTCCACAGGTACCTCCTGTCCTAATAAATAGTAACCTTTTGAACACTGTGTTAGGAATTGTTTGTAGCTGGCAAGTAGAAGCACTAACTCTGGTACACCCTGCCATCTTGTTAAGCTTTTCTATTTATTAAATCATTCGTCTGTGTGTATTCACAGGTGAAAGAAATAAGGTTTAGATGGTGAGGCATTCTGCTCAAATCCGGGCTGTATATCAGAGAAGAGCAGATTTGAATGGTGGTCTTATTGATTTTATTCTGTTTTGCTAAATTATCTACTTTGTATTTTTCACTGAAGTTAGGCAGAAATTCAGAATCCTGGTTTCTGTTTCTCAAGAGGCATATGTACATGAAACTTTGTTCTGCCCTTATTTTGAGTTCCTCTGCCTGCTGGAGGACAAAGCTTCAGCTAGATCCGCAGCAGGAAGTGCCTGTGAGAACAAGAAATTTGTAGTCCCAACAACATGCAGTGGTTAACCTGGGATAAATCACTAAAGATGCTATGAGGCTTCTTTTATTGTGCCTGCCTTCTATTTTAGAGAGACCCATATTCGGGAAATGCCTTTCTGCCTGGTGAAAGCTCCAGTGAGGATGAGGAGCCTTTAGCAGAATTGTCAAAGGAAGAATTGTGCGCCAAAATAAAAAGCCTGAAAGAAAAACTAACAAACACCCGGAAAGAGAACGGCCGACTTCGACAGTCTTTGGTCATGCTTCAAGGTAAACGTTGAAAAAATTGACATTTTAGATAAAAGGGAAAGTATATCATCATTGGAAAGTATTGCAAATTAGCTGTCAAGAATAAAAAAGAAAATCCATACCTCTGGGAACTCAAAACTCACAGTTTTAGAAAAAAATCACTGATTATATAATTTAAACACAGAAGCACTCTATTGAAAGATCTAGCTTATGGCTCAAAAAATTTTAGATTCTCCTACAAAACACTAAATATTGTATTCATTTAATAGTGTTTAAGAGACATTTATTGAGCATTTAATATACGCCACTCACACTGCTAAGCCCTAGAGAGAAAACATTGTTAAGACAGAGCAAACATGTTAAGGTGCCCATGATGTGCTTAGGTCACCCCTCTCTGCTAGGGAAATCTCTAGAAAATGGAACTTATTGTGATTCTTCATGAAATCACTGGAATTAGAGTCCATAGAGTACATCTTCATTTTTTTCTGTTGGGAAGAGTGACTTGGGAAAACAATAGCATTCCACTGGAAAAATATAAAGAAGAAAACTCACCACAAAATACTCCAGTGTCTGGGGAAAAAAATGAAAAAAGGAGAAAGAAGCATAAGCAAATTAAAAACTACTTGGTTTAATGCCTTTTTGTAGGATCCTATGTGATGTTCATGTGTTTATTTTTTCAAAAATTATGCTTTCCATTTGTAGTTAAGCACTATACATTATTTTATACAGCTGAATATTTTGTAATTAGGATACTATGTTGGCAGCACTCAGTTGTAAAACAGTAAATACACAGAACATTTTGAAAATAAGTCCTTCCAGTTGCTGTGTACAGAATGAGTACAAGTGGTACAAGAAAGTGAGGCAGAACCACCAGAAAGGCCGTACAATCATCCAGTCTCACATAGTAGCAGCCTACCCTACAACAATGGCTTATGAAAATAAAGAGAGTGGGCCGGGCGCGGTGGCTCAAGCCTGTAATCCCAGCACTTTGGGAGGCCGAGACAGGCGGATCACGAGGTCAGGAGATCGAGACCATCCTGGCTAACACGGTGAAACCCCGTCTCTACTAAAAAATACAAAAAACTAGCCGGGCGAGGTGGCGGGCGCCTGTAGTCCCAGCTACTCAGGAGGCTGAGGCAGGAGAATGGCGTGAACCCAGGAGGCAGAGCTTGCAGTGAGCTGAGATCTGGCCACTGCACTCCAGCCTGGGCCACAGAGCGAGACTCTGTCTCAAAAAAAAAAAAAAAAAAAAAAAAAAGAAAATAAAGAAAGTGGTTCACAATGCATTTAGAGACAGAATAGTAATAAGAGACAGATAGAACATGGTGATGAATGAGGCTGAGAGTAATGATTCACATCCTTTCCTAAGAATATTTGTTAAATTAACGTCTTCATACTTTTAAGTAAAAATAGTCACATGTAAGAAGAAAGATGTTTTTCAATTAACAAGCCATTACCTCTTTATTTCTTCGCTTCATTTTTTAAATTTGTTTGTTTGTTTTACAGAGACAGGGTCTCGCTCTGTTGCCCAGGATGGAGTGCAGTGATGAGATCATAGTTTACTGCAATCTCAAACTCCTAAACCTAAGCAACCCTCCTGCCTCAGCCTCCTGAGTAGCTAGGACTATAGGCATGCACCACCACACCCGACTAGTTTTAAAAATTTTTCATAGAGATAGGGGTCTCACTGTGTTACCCAGGCTGGTTTCGAACTCCTGGCCTCAAGCCATCCTTCTGCTTTGGCCTCCCAAAGTGCTGGGATTACAGGTGTGAGCCACCATACCTGGCCTTATTTCTTCATTTTAAATATTATGTTTTTAAAACTGATGTTTTCTTTTGACTAGTTTTTTATGATTTCCAAAGAATAGATAATTCCCATTTTTACATAATCTCTTCCAGAATTTAGCATAGGATGAAAAGCTAGTTTATAAAATTAGCATGAATTGCTAATTAAAAGTATTAATCTTGGAGCTATAGACCTTGGCGTGAAGCCCAACCTTGCTTTAAAACTTTGGCCATATTATTTCACTGTGCCCTTATCCCCCACTGCAATTTCCTCATCCAAAAAGCAGAGGAAAGCAATATATGACTTCCTTGTGGCTATGAGAATTGAATGAGTGAATTAGTAGAAATGCTTTACCCAGTACCTGGCACAAGAGAAGAACTCAGCAATGGTAGTTATTATTGCTGTTATATATTTTTATTGACACCTGACACATAATCCATTCCCCAAAAAACTGTAGGCTAAATTTCATTATAAATATAGAAGAGAAAATTTTAAATAAAGAGTACCAATCAGCTTCAGTAGCATATGAAAATAATCACTTACTATGACCAGTTTCTTCTCTCTCCCAGGGTCCAAATTGCCATTTCATTTTCTTCTCTTTCTGCCAATTCCCAGTCTTCTTAACTCTCAGGTGATGGCTTTACTTCTTACTTCACTGAGAAGTGGGAGGATATGAAGCCACTGCCATCTCCCCGCACCTGTGCTTCTGTACCCCCTTTACTTCCTCTTATTCATGAATAACCTATCCTTGTGAGTCTCAATCTCCTTCAGTGCACCAGATCCCATCCCCTTTTTTGTAATCAGGAACATTGCTCCAGAGATTCTGCCCCGTCTCCTGCAAGATTAGATTTTCCTTCTCTAATGAATCATTCCCATTAGTATCAAACATACTATTATTTCTCCCATTAAAAAAAAACCTCACTTTCAGACCATTTGCTTCTCTACCTTCTGTTTTTCTCCTTCCTCTTATGGAAAAACTCCTTAAAAGTCTTGACTATACACACTCTGTTCAGTTTCCTCCCTGTTATTCTTTCTGGATCCCACTCCAATTAGATCCTTTAATTTCATTGTAATTTCTCTTCTCATGATCATCAGTCATCTCCATGTATTAGCTTGCTAGGGCTACAGTGACAAAGTACCAAAAACTAGGTGGCTTAAACCACAGAAATTTATTCTCTCACCAGTCTCGAGGTTGGAATTATAAACTCAAGGTGTCAGCAGGGCCATACTCCCCCTGCAGGTGCTAGGAAGAATCTGTTCAGGCTTCTCTCCTAGCTTCTGATTGTTCCTTGAATAAATCAGCATAACCCCAGTCTTCGCAGGATGTTCTCCTTGTGTGCTTCTCTCTCTGTATCTAAACCTCTCCCTTCGTATAAGAACACCAGTCGTATTATATTAGGGCCCACCCTAATGACCTCATTTCAACTCAATTACATCTGTAAAAACCCTATGTCCAAATAAGATCACATTCTGAGGTAATAGGGGTTAGTCTTCTGACACATCTTTTTGGGGGACACAGTTCAATCATGATATTCTGCATTGCTAACCTCAATAGTCATTTATCAATTGTCATCTTAAGTGTCCTGTTACCAGCATTTTGACACATTTGGACAACTCTCTGTCCTTGAAAAAGGTTCTTTACCTGCTTTCCAGGATACCAAATTCACCAGCTTTCCTCTCATATTGTTGGTCTTTCCATCTTATTCCATTTAGCTGATTCATTATCTCATCCTCTAAGTATTTTATGATTCCCCTGGCTCCGTACTTGGACTTTTTTCTTTTCTATCTGCATTCATTCTCTAGATGACCGACTCCAATAATATGGTATAAATATCCATCAATGAGGCTGAGCGCAGTGGCTCACACCTGTAATCCAGCACTTTGGGAGGCCAAAGCGGGTGGATCACTTGAGACCAGGAGTTTAAGACCAACCTGGGCAACATGACGAAACTCCATCTCTACTCAAAATACAAAAATTAACCAGGCATGGTATTGCACGCCTATGGTCCCAGCTACCTGGGAGGCTGAGGCACAAGAATTGCTTGAACCCGGGATATGGAGGTTGCAGTGAGCTGAGATTACACGACTGCACTCCAGCCTGAGCAACACAGTGAGACTCTGTAAAAAAAAAAAAAAAAAAAAAAACACACACACACACACACACACAAAAATCAGTGAGCTATGCTTGTCAGATTTCTATCTCCTGCCTGGGCCTCTTTAACTCATTGTCTAACTGAATGCTTGACATGACTGATAGGCTAACATGTTTCAAACCACATTCCTTACCTCCCTCAACCTGTTTCTTTCTTCCTCATCCTAGCTAATGTTAATTTCATTGTTCAAGTTCCTTAAGCCAGAAACTATGATGTTATCTTCATGTTATCTTCTATTTCTGTATTTATTTTACACCCCACACTCAGTCCATTAGCAAATCCCACTAGCTTTGCCTTCAAAATATTTCTGAAACTCAATCCCTTTTACCACCCCTACTGCTGCTACTCTGGTCCTAGCCACCATTACCTCTCATCTATAATTAAGGTGGCATTGTAACTTGCATTGCTACTTCTGTTCTTGTTCCTATGAGGTCTATTCTCAACACAGCAGTGAGAATGAGTTTGTTAAATGTAAACCAGTTCATGTCCTCCTGTGCTTAAAACTCTCCAGTGAATTCGTACCTCATTCAGTATAGAAATTAAAGTCCTTTTATGATCTTTGGTTCCTTACATGATCTGGCCACCTCCCCTCCACTTACTTCTCTGGCCTTGTTTTCTACTCCTCATCCTCTCCTTCTCTGTGATCCAGACAACTGGACCACTTACTTTCCCTCCGAAGACATCAGGCATGATCTTATCTTCAGTGTCTTTGTGCTTTCCATTCCCTCTGCCCAGAATGTTCTTCCTCCAGTTATCCATAGGCCTTGAACCCCCACTTCTTTCAGATCTTCACTGCTAATTCAACTTTTCCCTGATCTTCCTCCCATCTAAAATTTCAACCTTTTGTCTCCCAGTTTATATTATCTTCCCCTGTTTTGTTTCCTTTTTGGCACTTGCAAGTCTGTGTAATCTACTATGTATTTAATATTGTCTATCTCCACATGTCCCCACCACATACACACACACTAGAATTTAACCCTGGAAACGAAGTAGTAAAGTTGGCAATTGACTGGACTTGTGACAACAGAAGTCAGGAACTGCCTACTGTCACTGCAGTGTTCATTTCTGCATTTATTCATTTT